CTTTCCAGCAGCTCTGCTTCATTATTCAATTATTTCTTCAAAGTGCTGATGGTTGCATCCCTGCTGGAAGAACCCCAACAGGGGAGTATTTCCTCCCAACAGCAGTGTAAAAAGCTTAAAACAACCCTTCCCCTTTAAGAAAGTCAAGCCCCAGCAAAGTACCACCAAAGAAAAAGAAAAAGAAAAACCTCTGGAGAAGCTCAGGCTACAGTAAGTCTAGGCGTACTGCCAAGAATGTAATAAGGGTTAGGAGAGGCAGTTTCTGTAAGCAGGGCGATAAAGATTAGACTAGAAACAACATCAGAATGTTTCCTTCCTGCCTTCCTTACAGGATTAGCCCTGCAAAGTGGAAAAAAACAAAAGATTTCTTCCAACAACGGGTTCTCCGAACTGTTTAGAAAGTTAACAACCGGTTCTCCCGAACAGGTGCGAACTGGTTGAATCCCACCACTGGGCGCAACTCCCCTAATGGCCTTGCTTAGCGACAGAAACTAGGCTTGGTTGTGGTCATAAGTCAAAGACTGCTCCCAGACCCCAAATCCCTTCAATATTAAAGGAAATTTATTGAAGAGAAAGAAACTCGGAGCTTGAGAAGGAGAAAGCCAAAACAGGTTAAATTTTTTGGCTTGAGGGTAGAAAAGGAAAGAATTGACCCTCCAAACAGTGCTAGGCTGCGCTTGGTTGGGGACAATGGGTACCGACAGCTTTGGGGTACCACAAAGTGTCAATGGCAGAAGAGGCAAGAATTCCTGGCTGGTTGGCCATTTTGTTACCTTGCTGGAGGATCAAGGTAGTATATTCCGTATATACTTAGTATACTTACGTTGCTAAGTGAGGAATGTGTTGAAGACACAGTTGTTAAGTGAATCGCTGCAGGTGTTAAATTTAGTCATGTGAATATGGCTTCCCTGTTGACTTCGCTTGTCTCCTGACCCCGGGACACCACAACCTTCAGGATTGGGCAGCCTATAAATTTAATAAATAGAATAGAATAGAATAGAACCGTCATAAATGCAAGTCAGTCTGAATTTTGATTCAATGTGACTGCGGGGATGCTGCAACAGACACCCATGTGGAAAACAATCCCGTATTTGGCCCCATTGTAACTTTGAACGGTCACTAAGTGAACCGTTGTAAGTCAAAGACTACCTTGACAGAGCAGAAATAATACAATGCAGTCCATTTTTTGGGATATGGGTAAACTGGATTGGATGTCCGGTGGCTGAAAGGGAGTCAGGATTTTTATCCTTGGAGGGGGAGGAAAGAGAGAGGGTGGGGGGAATTTGCTTCTCTGTGGGACAAGGCTCCCCATGCAGCCTGTCTCAAGCGACTCCCGTTTAAGACGGGTGGAAGTCCACCCGTCTTAAAGGGGAGGAGCTTCTGGTTTGAGTACCTAAGGGACCCAGAAGGGTCTTATCCTGGCGGTAGGGCAGACCATCTTGGACTCGAAAGAAGAATATCGCGAACCCTGAGAGTGTTCTGACTCAGCTCCCCAAACATGACAAACCCTCTGAAGTTAACTCAAAGATTCCTTTATTAAAAGAGGCAGCAGCCCCAGCAAAAAGTTTCTCTTTCACCGCAGGCTAACAAGCAGGGGTGAAATACTACCTGTTCAGGACGGTTCGCCCAAACTGGTAGTAAAAAAATGCTTTAAAATGCTTTCTTTCGGTTTGGGCGGGGGCCTGAGGGGGTTGTTGTTTTTAACAGCTCCGGATCCTTGGCTGCGTTAANCCAGTGTCTTTTTCCCCACTTGGAGCCGAACCCAGAAGGACATTTCTTCCAACAGTACCAAACATACAGATTGTGTATACTGAGTGCATTGAATCTCTCATGACAGAAATGAGTGAAAAAGTAGAATCAGATCTGCGCTTTCTGCTTGGCACATCACCAATATAGGCCACTTCAGCACTCCTTGCATGTAAGAATGTGATCCATCTCTCACTCCAACACCCACTTCAAATGCACCCTCTGCTCATGTTTTCCAGCTTTGAGTTGAAGCTGCTATTCTTTCAACCTGAGCCATCTTAAGCCTTTCAGAGGTGGGGTGAAGGGTCTCAGGTGCTCTGTTCTTTTCATAGTAGCAGTCCCAGCTCCAAGGGACTGCAGGACCTGTTCACTAGCCTCTTCTCCCACATCTTGCTACCATCTTGCACAGTCATTTTGTGTTGAGCTCTTGGACTCTGGAGTTCTCTTTGCTTAGCAGCTGCTGTTTCTTGATAATTCTGTGGCTGAGTCAATGAACCATCTTCAATCTTGAAGCTCTTGCTCCATTCAGGCCTTCTATCTCCCATCAGTAATAATAATTTTTAAAAATCTGATGTTTCTTTTTCTGTTTAACTTCAGTGCTTCCTCTTTAGCTGAGGAAATGTTTGTTTTTAGCTACATGATTTTTCATGAAGCAATTTGTTTAGTTTTGAGTCACCGCAATAGATAAACGTACCAATTCCGATTCACAACTTACATTCACGCTCCATGTTGCAGTGCAAGATTGTTTCATTATCTATTTTTAAGGGACATGACCATGGTTGAGAGAGAGAAAAAGTCAGAACAGGAGCAACTTCCAACTTCTTGTGGGCTTCCCATTGAATTTCCTTATGGGAAACTTGCAGAGAGCATCAGAAACCAACCAGTCTCCCTCCAGCCCGCGCACTCTCCCTCCACCTTCCTTCTTTGCCTCCTTCCCTTTCTTCCTCCCTTCCTCTCTTCCTTGCTTCCCTCCCTTGCTATCATTCTGTCAGTCTCTTCCCTCCCACCCACCCTTCTCTCTCTCTGTCTCTCTCTGTCTCTCCCTCCCTTCACTCTCTCCCACTTTCCACTCTTTCTTTCCTCTGTCCTTTCCTCACTGTTCCTCTTTTCCTTCCTCCTTCTCTCTGTACCTCCCTCTCCCTTACTTCTTTTCCCCCTTTTCCACCCTTCCTTCCTACTTTCTTCTTCCTTCCTCCTTCACCTTTTTCCCTTTCTCCCTCCCTTACTGTAATTCTGTCATTATCTTCCTCCCTCCCTCATTTTACCCAGTTAAAGGACATGGCTGAGAATTTTAGTAGTATATCAATTAAAGAGTATCAATTAAACAATAATATTTAATTGTAAGGATTTAGCAAATAAAATGTTACTTGCATGAAGCTTGGAACAAGGAATTAGAAAAACATGTACATGAGTTTTAAATAATGTGATTCATAATAATATGATTCATTAATAAATTAATCTCATTAATTTAGTTAACTTTTGTTTTCTTGTTATTATTTTCTGAAAAATAATATGACTTACATCCATGTTATCAATCTTCAACCTTGTATTAAATTGCTGCTGCAAAACTTGATCTCTTGTCTTCCTGACAAAATGCACCAGAACATCCCTTACAATATTTCTTATTCTTGCAAATGTATTTAGTTTATCAACCTATGACACATTCATTATAACAATAAGGGAAATTTGCAAAACTATAAAAAAGATTAAAACAGGAAAGTTGCCTGGAACAGATGGATTACAAGGATTGCATAAATGTTTTAAGGACAAAGTTTCACAAACTTTACAAAATATGATGAACTCTATTTTACAGGGATACAATTGCCAGAGAGCTGGGGAAAAAATTAATACATTAATTCTATATTAATTAATACAAAAAGGGAAAGATTTGACTTTAACAAGAAACTATCAACCAATACCCTTATTGATTAATGACTTTAAGTTGTTTGAACAATTTTAACTGAGAGATTGAAAATAAGTTTTTAAGAATTTTTATATGAAGATCAATGTGTGCTTAATCTAAAAGACAGTTAATAACAATATTAGAAATGTATCGGACATTTTGGAATATTTGGAGCAACATAATGAAAAACAATTCACATTGATTTCTTAAATGCAGAAAAGGCTTATTCAATGTTTTGGAATATATGAACTTTGGAGAGAATTTTATTAAATGTATAAAACTGGTTTACACAACATGGAAAGCACAAATAATTGTTAATTGAGAGTAACAAATCTTAAGGGATACCAAAAGGAACAAGACAGGTCTGCTCATTATCTCCTCTTGTTTTTGTTTTGTTCAGTGGAAATATTGAATGAAGATATAAGGCAAAAATGAAAAAAAAATTGTGGGAATAAAGACTGAAAGAGAAACCTATAGGTTAAGAGCATTTGATTTGATACTGGTTTTAGAGTATCCTTTAAAGGGAATTGTAACATTAATTGGAAAAATAAAACAATTTGATACATTAACAGGTTTTAAGATTAGCAAACGGAAGACAAAGACATTACCAAAACATTCTGTATATATTAGTAATGTGTTGGTCAGTCAAAACTAAAGTGGATATGCTGAATAAAAAAGTTTCTAAAACAGCTTTGATTTTTAGAAGTTGACTGACCTCTCAGTGTATCTAGGTTAATATTTAACATTTATTTGTCAATTATTCCTTTTTAGCATACTTATGAAGGCATGCTAGAAAAAGTTGTTTATAGATACACAGAGATCAGCAAATTAAGACAAGCTAAAAAAAAATGGGGTGGGGATAGAGATAACATTGCCAGGCCTAACATTACCATTGCTCCCCCCAAATTTATGTACCTGGATATCACAGCAGGAAGATAGTGAGCTGAGTTTACTCAGTGTCTTTGTTCTACAGCAACACTGCTTTCTGTGCTGCCCCAATGCTGGTATGGTCAATGAGGACAGCCCACTAATCAGGAATTTCTGACGTCTGGCAGAGCAGCTGGAAGACTACAGGCCAAGGAGGAACACTGAATCTGATCTGCACTGTTTGTCAGAGGCTATGTAGGATCACATGTTCTCGCCACTTTGTTCGTCTTGGGCCCAGGTTCATCCGGAAAAGGAATATAGCCAAAACTTAGCCATTGCTATGGGAAAGTGGCAGGAAATGACAAAGGAGGTATAGCTTTAATGTTTGTGCGTGTGTGATTGTGGAAGGGAGGGAAGAGAGGTTTTCAATATTTGTTTAATGGGGGTGGTGGTATTTTAGACATATTTTTTAAAAAAAGATTTGGGAGTTTCCAGAATGGGAAGGGGAGTGTTACAACCTATTTTGCTCTAGAACAATGATGGCAAAACTTTTCAGCACCGAGTGTCCAAACTGGAATGCATTTATGTACGTGTGCGCTGGAATGCCAAAAACCTGAAGACCAGTTGGCTGGTGCGCATGCACACATCGGAAACCCAAAGACCAGGTGCATGTATGTACCGGCTAGCTGGTCTTCGGGTTTCCAGAGCTTTGGCACACACAAAAACCAGTTGGCTGGTATGCATGCGCGCGCCGGAAACCAAAAGAACAGCTGGCAATGGCGCACATGGCCACAAAAAGTGCTCTGCGTGTCACCTCTGGCCCGCATGCCATGGGCTGGCCATCACGGCTCTAGAACAAGGGCTAAGAAATGACTTACTCAGAGATTTATTTATGTGCTTGGAAGTATAGTTTTCTGAATCCCCAAGGAACTCTCTGAAACTGCTCTTGCGCCCTGCCACAAAAATTATAGCCAGCACAAAAGCCCTGAAGGTTTAACCAGCTAGCTTCATTTGTGGCAAGAATATCACAGTCTGCAATGCAAAAGAGCTTCCATGGCTACTAAATTAACCCGAGACAGATGGAAGGGACTATAGGTGCAGCCATTCATACAGGAATCCTCTTGCCTCTCTCTTGCAGGTAGCTACCTATTTTTTCTTAAGTGGGGTTAGCATCATTTCAATCTGCAAGTATTTCTGAAAATGTCCACATGATGTATGGAGGATTCCCTTGCCTTTGTAGAAGTTACCCTGTTTTCTTTCTATACAGGAGCTGGAGACTCAATATTCTCCTAGCAGGTGGTCTCCACGGCTGGATAAGGAAGTTGTGATTGAGGCACACGTGAAAGCAGTGACTGAAGGTAGGGGCCATCCAAGAGCCAGAAAAATGGAGTAAGCAGAAAGACTACTGTGTTTCCCCAAAAATGAGACATATTTTCTCATATTTATGAAAATATTTTCTTTTGACCCCCAAAATATGGCTTTGGCCTTATTTTTAGGACATGCCATATTTTTGGGGAAATATGGTACCTTCCTATAGACTTCCCAGTTACTCTGGATTGTGGCTTTATTGCCAAAATATACTAGAGCCATGATGGCAAACAAGTGGTGGGTTTAAAAAAAAATTGGAACCTACTCTGTGGGTGTGGTCTCCTTTGTGGGAGTGGCTTGCCGGCCATGTGACCTGGTGGGAGTAGCTTGCCGGCCATGTGTTTTGTTGAACATATGCACATATTTCTCTCTCTCTCTCTGTGTCTCTGTCTCTCTGTCTCTCTTCCTTCCTTTTGTCTCTCTGTCCCTTTTTTCTTTTTTCTTTCATCTCTCACTCTTTTTCTTTCTTTCTTATTTATTTATTTATTTCTTCCTTTCTTTCTCTTTCTCTCTCTCTCTGTGTCTCTGTCTCTCTGTCTCTCTTCCTTCCTTTTGTCTCTCTGTCCCTTTTTTCTTTTTTTCTTTCATCTCTCACTCTTTTTCTTTCTTTCTTTTTTATTTATTTATTTATTTCTTCCTTTCTTTCTCTTTCTCTCTCTCTCTGTGTCAGTCTGTGTGTGTAGGGGGCAGTAGTGGGTTTCAAAAAATTTTGGAACCTCTTCTGTAGGTGTGGCCTACTATCTGGGTCCACTGGTGGAACCTCTTCTAACCAGTTTGGTAGATTTGACGAATCGGTTCTACCGAATAGGTGCAAACTGGTAGGAACCCACCTCTGTGGCAAACCTATGGCATGCGTGCCACAGGAGGCAGGTGGAGCCCTATTTGCTGGCACACGAGTTGTCAGCTCCATCGTGCATACGTTCACAGGCCATCTGATTTTCAGCCTTCCAGAGGACTGGGGAAGACCATTTTCGCTCCCCCCACCAGGCTTCAGGAAAGCCTCCAGAGCCTGGGGAGGATAAAAAATGGGCCCAACAGGCCTATTGGAAGTTTGGAAACGATCTGTTTCTGGCTTCTGGAGGGCCTCTGAGGGCCAGGGGAGCTGCTTTCACCCTCCCTAGGCTTCAGGAAAGCCTCCAGAGCCTGGGGAGGGTGAAAAACAGGTCCAACTGGCTTACTGGAAGTTCTTTGGCCCGCTGGGCCCGTTTTCCACCCTCCCCCCCGAGGAAATGCCAAACTCCGCTTGGAGGCGAGCAGTGTGGCACGCATGGGGGGAACATGAAGGGGTTTTTTGCATGCATCCCCATGTGGGGACGTGTTTTGCATGATGGGTGCCAGCATGTCCATGAACTATTGTGTGCATGCTCATATTTTTGGCACCCAACAACCAAAAGGTTAGCCATCACTGTACTAGAGCATCGGAGTCCTCTCCAGCAAAACAGGCAGCAAGCATGCTTTTTTAAAACATGATTACATTGCCAAGATTAATTATGTCGTAGCAGGTGTTACCTTGTTTGTAAACTCTGAAATAATTACAAAAAATTGCACACAGCTGCAAGCATAGAAATCCTTATTGTTCCCCCCCCCCAAAAATACAATAAATAAGGCAAATAAATCCCAAAATACATCTGACGGCAACAAGGTCCCCAAAGCACTCCTCAAAAGCTCAGCCTTCAACTTTTTCCAGAAGGTGGAAAATACTGAAATAAATTGGTGAATATGGCATTTCTAATGAGTAGGCCATACAGATCAAGGGACTACCTACCCTCTGGTATGGAAAGAAAAACATACCAAGGAAGAGCTGGGCATGTCTGGAAAAAAACATGGAGAGCTCCATCCTTTGAAGCTATGTCAAAGTGAAGAGCCACTGTTCTCCCAGGAAGCAAACAGAATCAGTTGCAGTTGTAACAATACCGTGTTTCTCTGAAAATAAGACAGGGTCTTATTGTCTTTTTACCTACAAAATATGGCTTGGGCCTTATTATCAGGGAAGGGTTTATTGTTTTGGGGTTGCCAGGCATCTGCTCTCTTGCAAGTGGGTCCCAAAGAGCCGGGCGCAGCCTCAGAGGCGAACGGCTGTGTTGCGCTATCGCAGCAGTGCAGCACAACAGCCATGAGATGACCACGCTCACGAGCAGCCGCCCGGCAAACCCCCTTTCCAGCCGAGCACAGTGCCATTCACTGACCTAGGGTATTGCCGAGCCACAGGAACGCCTGTTCGCCACTGCTGGAAGACTCAGTTTGGAAGCTGCCGAAAAAGTCATGGTGGGATGGTGGCAGCGGCGGTGGCAGCAGCAGCGGAGGTGCTGTGGCTCTGCAGGCAGAGCTGAGCCAGGGCATTGTGAGGCTGGAAGGCACGCGTGGGAGCAGAACAGCCGCTTGCACAACCCCCTTCTCCAACCGTGCAGAGCGCCATTCACTGGCATTTCAAAGGTGCCAAGCCGCGAGAGCCGGGTGGCGGTGAACGGGCGCTCACGCAGCTTGGCAATACCCCATGGTCAGTGAATGGTGCTGTGCCCGGCTGGAAAGGGGGTTTGCCGGGTGGCTGCTGTGCCCAGCTCTTTGGGAGCCCATTCGCAAGAGAGCAGCCGCCCAGCAACCTCCCTCTTCAGCTGGGCACAGTGCTGCTCATCAACCTTGGGGTATCCCGAAGGTGCCAAGCAACACGATCACCTTTGCCTCCCCCCCCCCGGTTCCCACGGCTTGGCAACTTTGGGATACCGCTAGGTTGGTGAGCGGCGCTCTGCCTGGCCGGAGGTGGGGGGTTGTCCAGGAGGCTTATTTGCGGGGGAGGGCTTATATTTTTGCCCACCAGAAAAATGTGGCATGTCCTTATTATCAGGACATGTCGTATTTTTGGGAAAACAGAGTAGGTAGTCCTCAACTTATGACCACAATCAAGCCCAACATTTCACTAGCTAAACAAGATAGTTGTTACATGAGTTTTGCCCCATTTTATGACCTTTCTTGTCACAGGTAGTAACAACCATGTTACTACCTTAACAACTGCAGTGATTCTTGTGAATCACTGCAGTTGTTAAGGTAGTAACATGGTTACTAAATGAATCTGGCTTCCCCATTGATTTTGCTCATCAGAAGGTCTCAAAAGGTGATCACATGACCTTGGGGCACATCAAAGGTCATAAATATGAACTAGTTGCCAAGAGACCAGATATTGATCATATGAACATAGGGGATGCGGCAATGGCTATAAGTGAAACACTGTCATAGATGACTTTTTTTCAATACCTTTGTACTAAACCAATAGTTGTAAGTCAAGGACTGCCTATATGAGGATTCAATAACATCTGGAACATCTTGGAGGGCAGCCCAAATAATATTTAGGAAGGGTGGTTGCTGCATTTGTTTGTGTTTTCTTCCAATACTCTGCAGGTTCTCAAAATGCCCAGGCATTCACCCAAACTCTGCTGAATGTCCCCTATGGCTCCAGTGAGGGAGAGAAACTGGATGTGTATCTTCCTAAAAAACACGTTGAAAGTAAGAGCACAAAAGGTGGGGTGAGGGCTCTGAAAGAAGCAGGGTAGGGAAATAGGAAAACAGAGAGCAGGACGTGAAGGCTGGACATGGGTAGATGAGCATGGAAATGGCCTCCAAGAATGTAGTTGTTTGGTAAATCCTCAGCCCTGAAAGGAAGAAACTTAAGATTGGCCCGTTTTAATACTTTTGATGTAAGGGGTGGGAGAGAAAGTCTCCGTCATGCTTTCAAGAATCTCCTACTATTATATACTTGGCAACACTAGACTTCATCAGTTGTTGTGGTGATGATCTCTTGACCTGATCTACCGACTGCTGTTATGTCTCAGAGGTAGCAATGTCACTTAGACTTATATGCAGCTTCATAGAGTGCTTTACATCCCTTTCTAAGCAGTTTACAGAGTCAGAATATTGCCCCTAACAATCTGGGTCCTCATTTTACCGACCTTCGAAGGATGGAAGGCTGAATCCACCTCGAGTTGATCAAGATCGAACTGCTGGCAGTTGACAGAATTAGCCTGTAATACTGCATTCTAACCACTGCGCCACCATGGCTCTTAGCTAAGATGAACAAAGACTGGGAGGGATGGTACATTTGGGGAAAGTTACAGTAGACAATGCTTTTGGTGACTTGTTATCCCATTTCAGCCTTTCCTCTGGTCCTCTATATTCATGGTGGCTACTGGCAAAGTTTGAGGTGAGTTGTATTGGAGCCTGCAACGGTCTCCATTTTCCAATTGCTAGACTTCAGTCAGTGGCACTCTGGCTAGAAGAACCTCTTTTTTGATGGAGGACATCTACTGTTATAACAACTGACCTTTTTTGTTTCTTTCTAGCAAAGATGTTTCCGGTTTTGCTGCATGTCCTCTAGTGAAGCAAGGCATTGCCTTGGCTGCAGTTGGCTATGATGTGGCTCCAAAAGGTATAGTATGCTGGCTCAGGTGCATTGCACACCCTGCTTTCCTCTGACTAACCATGGTATTGTGTTCTCTGCCCAGGCCAGCTGGAGGTGATGGTTGAGCAGGTGCGGCATAGTGTGGCTTTTGCAGTTCAGCAATATACAGGGATCAGGTAAGAGGGGCTTCACAAGTTGCATGAGTAATAAACACACAACCTTGAGAAAGAGAAACTTGGATTCCAACTGATAACCTGCCCAGGTTTAGAACTCAGCTTAATAGATGTTGAGTGATTGACTCTTCAACCAGTTTTCCCTTCTCTATCCCATCAGCATCTCTTCTTTGCTCTAACCACTTCTTGTATTGTAACCACTTCTCCTTTTCTTGCAGTGGAGTCTACCTGCTTGGGCACTCGGCAGGAGCCCACCTAGCAGCTATGGTGCTTTCCACAGATTGGGCAAAATTTGGTGTTGAGCCAAACATCAAAGGTATTGCCTGGGAGAAATTCATCCTGTTTTTCTCACTTTTTTTGCCTCATTATTTCCTCGGATTCTCTTGCTTGAACATCATGCATACTGGAATATTACAGGGTCTTATTTTCTTTTGACCCCCCCAAATAAGCACTTCGCCTTACGTTCGGGGAGGTCTTATTATTTTTGAGGTGCAGCAAGTGTGGTCATCTCATGGCTGTTGCTATGTTGCAATATTTGGGGGCAGGGTTTATTTTAGCGCATGCACTCAAAGCCCAATTGGGCTTATTATCCGGGGAGGTCTTATTTTCGGAGTAGATCGAGTTGGAATCCATTTAAAACAATCCAGATTTTATTTTAATTATTAAATTATTAATTAAGTTATTTTTAATTATTTTTCACTGTAGGTGTCTTTTTGGTGAGCGGCATTTATGATTTGGAACCCATTACACACACTTACGTTAATGATCTATTGCAGTTGAGCCGGTAAGGAACATTCCTAGAACTGTTTAATTTGGGCAGAGCAGAAACATAACAGTAGCTCTCTTGTAACTGTCAATTCTTCAGGTTGACTTGAAGCAGGAAGTACTATATTAATTATATACACATGACCAGCTAAAGCTGCAGTATTTATATAATACAGCACAATAGCCCTTTAGCTTCCTGAGTGATCTGTACAGGAAGAAACAAGTATACAGCCAAATAATTTAAATCTCTGATTAGTTCATTATCTTTATTTTAGAACTTTTCTCTCGAATGCCTTCTGTGCATTCTAGATTTGTGTGCATTATATACATGTAGCTTCTTCTGTGCTCCATTTGCATATCACATTGTTTTTTCAGCCAATATATAGAAATATTATATCCCAAACACATGGTACATATTCGCACAGCAAAGTTTTTTGAACCCATGGACTTCATTCTCCCATTTGCATTTAGTGTGATAATTGCATTCAAAATAGAGTTATAAATAGAAAGGGCTATTTGTATTTTTGCCTCATTCACATGCGTGCCCATCTGTCAAAGTCTGCTTCCTTTACCTCACTACTAATTTTAATAGTGTGTTTTCTTTCTTCAGTGCAGTGGCCCAAGAGAATAGCCCTTTGCGGTGTATGCCAAAGATCAAAGACAAGAAAACCTGCCAGGTGCTCATTGCAGTAGCCCAGCATGACCCACCTGAGTTCCACAGACAATCTCAGGAATATTGTCAGGTATATATTGACTACACACTCCATTTGAAATGTAGGAGTTCAATGACCAGAGAAAGCAGTTAAGAAAAAAATAATAATGCCCTTTTGTATGGAAACAAACATGCCTAAACAAACATGCAAGCCTTTTGATCCTTTGGAAATACAGCTAGTCCTTGACTTACGACTACAATTGAGCTCAACATTTCTGTTTTGCCCCATTTTATGACTTTTCTTGCCACAGTTGTTAAATGAATCACTGCTGTTGTTAAGTTAGTCACACGGTTGTTAAGTGAATCTGAATTCCCCATTGACTTCACTTGTCAGAAGTTTGCAAAATGTGACCACATGACCCCAGAATACTGTAACCATTATAAATATGAATCAATTGTCAAGTGTCCAAATTTTGATCACATGACCATGGGCATGCTGCAACAATTGTAAGTGTGAAAAATAGTCATAAGTAACTTTTTCAGTGCCATTGTAACTTTGAACGGTCACTAAATGAATGGTTTTAAGTCGAGGACATGTATTTCACAAAGGTTTAAGCAAGTATGGTATCAGGTCCGCAGCTGGTTCCTTTTACGTGCCACACTCTTTGACGTGCCACACTCTCTATTATTTTACTGTGCTTTTTCATTAGTGGGGAATGGAAGGGGGAATAGTAAGGAGTAGAATGTGTTGTTGTCAAAATAAAAAATTCCCTCCTAGAAGCCCAAGGTCATCCTTTGTCTCTACACCTCTGAGCCTGACTGGAACTGGATGGGTGGAACTGCCAGCGTGGCAATGGAAGATTGGACCATATGATGGACTTGTGGGTGTGGGGGCAAGATCATGAACTTTCACCTGGGTGGGAAACCCAGGAAGTTTTCAGATTCGGGTTTTCCACAGATCTGCCAACATGTTTCTCTTCATAAATTGGAAGTTTGAGGAAAGTTCTGCCTTAGACTCTAATTTAATTTTGGATGATATTTGGAACGCTGACATATGGCTGATATTGTCTTCTCTTCAGCCAGTCCTTTAAAAGGCATAATTTTAATAATTTTAACTTTCATCCATCTTTTAATTCTATTATTTACCTCGAGCAATCAGTGTAAAATAGTAGGGAGTAAATAAAGTACGTTGTGATCATGTTTGTGCATCTAAAATATGTATTGCATTTATATATCTAAACGTAAGACTAAAAATGCATACTCCTATGCACAGAATTTCTGTTGTTAAGTGAGATATTTGTTAAGTGAGTTTTGCCCCATTTTTCGAGCTTTCTTGCCACAGTTGTTAAGTGGATCACTGCGGTTGTTAAGTGAATTCGGCTTCCCCATTGACTTTGCTTGTCAGAAACTCACAAAAAGGGGATTCCATGACCCCGGGACACTGCAACCATCATAAATATCAGGCAGTTGCCAAGTGTCTGAATTTTGATCACATGACTGGGGAGATGCTGCAAAGGTCGTAACTGTGAAAAACAATCATAAGTCCCATTCTTTAGTGCCATTGTAACTTTGAATGGTTACTAAATGACTTGTTGTAAGTTGAGGGCTATCTGTATTTGGACCATTCTTTTCTGTTTGGAGAGGGATGCCTAAATCGTTGTCAAATGCACCCCTTCCATTGTGCCACTTCAACTTCCTCAAGAAGACAAATAGATGTCCTCTCCCGCATACATTTTTTGTTTGCCCGTTTTTTAAAAAAAATATCTATTCTCCTATCCTGAGATCTACATCATTATTGTTGTGTTACTTTAATTTACGTTCTGCCTTTCTACTTGTTGGGTACTCAGGGCAATTGAACTTGTACCTACCATGGTGGGAGCCATTTTGTTCACACCCTTTTTATTTTATTTTATTTTATTTTATTTTATTATTATTTTATTATTTTATTATTTTATTATTTTATTATTTTATTTATTTATTTATTTATTTATTTATTTATTTATTTATTTATTTATTTATTTATTTATTTATTTATTTATTTATTTATTTAT